AAATAGCCATAAATATAATTCATATTTTGAGTTAATTTATAGTTATATAAACTTCTTTTTATTTCTCTATAAGTATAATGTACTTGTATAATGAAAATACAGATAAAGAGCTTGACTTGACTATGCAGTGACTATCTAATAATCTGGTGTAGATGTAGGGGCAACAGAGATATGGAACATGCTTGAACAAAACAGATAATTATGAGGTTTCTCATCAGCTGCATAAATTTGCCATATTTTGCAGCGCATAGTGATAAACAGATGTTTTGCATCCTTGCTATAAAAAATCCTTAATGAAAAAAAAAAACCTAAACATTTGGAGGGGTAAATACTGTATTCTCTCAGAAAAAGAGGTGCAAAAGTTGTCACTGGGGCTGTACCTTTTCAAAAGGTACACTTTTGTACCTTAAGGGTTAGTACCCAAATATTAGCAATTTTTGAAAAGGTGTACTTGCCCCACTATCTATCTATCTATCTATCTATCTATCCATAAATAGTGACAGTATATGAGTGGCACCCATATAGAGAGATGGACTGTGAATTAAATATGTATAACTGATTTTTAGATTTGGTCAAATTTGTGCTAACATGAACACCTGTAAAAATGTTTTATTTATTAATTTATTTGCTTAAAAAAGTTTTTTTTGACCTGGTATGGGTCAAATCCAGCGATCAACATTTTTGTTTGGTATCTATGTTTTTGTATGTTATATTCACCTCCTTTACTTTGCCCTGTTGATTATCATAAATGTGGCGAATGAGACGTGACTGAATCAGATGAACACAGGTGAAACTCTGACATGAAATATTTGCTATTTTGTGATGTGTCTGTTTAATCAAGAAATCATATAATCACTTTTTGTTATGGCATTGTTATCAAAACACATGGACACATAAAGTGCATTTTCAGCTCCATAAATACCATCAGTCTAGACACAAAGCAGAGACAGATGAAAGAAGCACATTTCATTCATGCCTGCTGAGAAACGCATTAATGGTGTTCCTTTCCTGCCTGCTCCAGACATTTTACAAGTGCTTTTTAATTTTAGGGGGAAAAAACAGTTTCCCATCCAGTGAGTCACAGATTAATTGATTTAGAACAATCAGACAGTCCCGAATAACACCATGACACCTCACTTACATAAAGTTACAGCACTGGGGCTCATAATTGAACTAAATGGATGTTTTTCTTTTTCTTTTTAACTTTTCTAATATACAACATCGTCACATTAAATAATTAGTATACATATTTTAGTTGGTTTAGTAAATAGTTTAAATGTTAAGTATTTTTATAATCAAATATATTGTATCTCGGCCAAATATTGTCCTATCCTAACAAACCATACATCAATGGAAAGCTTATTTATTCAGCTTTATGATGATGTATAAATCTCAATTTAAAAAAATTGACCCTTCTGACTGGTTTTGTGGTCCAGGGTCACAAATAAATAAATAACTTTCATAAATCATTCTAATATGCTGAATATTTCTTTTCTTTTTTTCAGGATCCTTGATAATGAGAAAGTTCAAAACAACAGTTTGAAATAGAAATCTTTTGTTGCTGAATAAACATATTAATTAATTTATTTTGAAAAAGTACCTAACTTTTGAATGGCAGTGTACTGTCTATAAAAATATACAAAATAACCCTAAATACATTAAATATATTGAATTCATACAATCTTTTTTTGTTATAATAATTTTTTTATAATGAAATACATGCATTAAATATATAAATATATTATATTAGTAATGATTAATATTATAAAGATTTAAAAAAAAAGACCACCAAAGAGAACTAAATAACAATTTATTAAAACAAGAGAACTGTTTGTCTGAGACAAACCTGAGTTTTATTTTACAGCTCTGAGTTGCATATCTTTTTTTGCTAAATGTTTGAATTTAGGTAGACAATGTATGTCTTACACTGCATCTCTTCCGCTGAAGATTATTTCAAAATAAGGCAACAATAAAACAACATTTTAAATGATTTTGTTTTTTTTTTATTTTCACAGAATTCTAAACTCATTGCTGGTGACTGTTCATACAGTTTTGTTTTGAATTAAATATTTTCACATTTAGTTTCTGCAGCTATCACAGATGGCAAAATCTATGTACAAAATAAAGGTTTACAGTACTCTTACAATTCACTTCAACAGTGTCTCTTTCTTCGAAAATACCAATACAAATCTTTTGTGTTTATTTGTTTTTCACATTGTGCTTGGTACAAAATAAGAACTTCTTGTTGTTATAATGGGGTTAAGTGTGCGCTGGGGAATATTTACATGCAGTAAGACTTGTGTCATGTGATTTGATGCGGCGCTTCCAGCATCTCCATGAGGAAAGTGTCTATAGGTGTGTCTCCGATGAGTTTGAAGAAGAACAGGTGCTCCAGGCACTTCAGTCCTATGGAGCGCAGAGCGGGCAGACGGAGGAGCAGCTTGGCAAACCTGAGTGAAAAGAGAAAAAAACGACACCTGCATGACCTACATACTGTTTCAGTTCACACTAGTAACGAGCCAGTCTGTCATAAAATAAAGAAGAACAGGAGTGCTGTTGCATCAATAAAATATCACGGTGGCAGTGCGGGAACTACCTGCCGGGCTGATCAGGGTAGTTGTGTTTGGTGTAGCCCTCCAGTGAAGCGTACACTTTTTCCCGTAATGCCTCGACCTCTGATGGGTTTGACAATCCTTTAGCATCTATAAAAGAAAACCTTTTGAGGGTACTGCCACATTGACAAGCTGCTGTAAAACACTGAATCATGACAAAATCTTATATATTATAATAATAATAAATAGCAGCTAAATATAAATAATATATACAATATAATATAATGCAGTATATTTAATCATCAATATAATAAATGCAACAATACAATATATAATATTAAATATTAACATCATTATATTTGATATAAAACAATGATTAATATATTCTGATTAAGAAAATGATCTTTTACAAAGATAAAATATTTCTTATTAAATGCTTCTTGCATATTACTTATAAAATTCTAATGCCCCCATAAATTCCATAAGAATGTATATTTACATAAAATATCTATTTTTAACATTTTTATATAATTAATTGTAATTCCAAAATGTAACACTTTAAATCAACAGTCTTAATCTATTAATTATAATAATTAATCAGAAGTCAAAGGAGTGTTTAGATCAGATTTATTAGTTCTGAGAGTGCTCGGGACAGGTCTTGACCTGGGTTAAAGAGGACGATAGCTCTTAGACAGCCCAGCTCCGTCTTGTCCATCTGCATGTCCTTCATCTTAGACACCAGCTCTGTTAATACCCTGCAAACATTATAATGGATTTAGATTGGATTTACAAGGATTCAATAATATAATATAATATCAAAAATTCATCTGTGCATCTAGGGAGGGTTTGAGGAGGTGATGGGCTCTGTGTTGTGACCTTACCTGTCAAATATAGAGCCGACCCCTGCGCTGTGAGCACTGCTTCGGTGGACATGCAGGCCAGTGGCCAAAAGGATCCCATCTTTAACCGTCACAGAACGGTGTGAGAATGAAGCGATGAGCAGCTCGTTCCAACCTAAAAACACACACACAATGAGATTGGCTTGTACACTCTACACACACATTTATCATCTGAATAGAGGCATACTGACCTGCTCGCAGCAGGATGACCTGGTCATCCAGAGGCAGGTCAGAGAAGTGCGGGATTCTCTTAGCCCACTCAACAAGAGTAAAGAGCTGCTTGTCTGCAGCCTGGCAGATGTTGGTCACTGGGTCATTTGTCTGAGAATCAAAAATATGTACATATTAAAGTATTGACCATTGGCAAGAATAATCAAACTAAATATTACATCTCTCTCTAATATCCCAGTTTCTTCTTTAGAGCAGTAATTTAATTTAGAGAAAATTGAGAATTTCTGATTTAGTGTCCTGCTTGTCAAATTGACAAAGTTCCTAATAATGCACTGTAACACATCCTGTTGCTTCATCCTTAAAAAAAGGTCAATTTAATTGAGAAGCTATTATTGCAAAAGAAAAATCAAACAAATAATACCAAAACCAATAGCAAACATATTGTGTATAAGTATGCAATTCATGTTATTCAAGTCATTTAACATCACAGAACAATTATTTCTCTAGGCTGGCAGAGTAATTTTCATAGGTACACTATTGTTTGAAAGTCTTTTTTTTTTTAGAGAAGTTAATACTTTTATTCATCAAGGATGCATTAAATTGATCAAACGTGACAGGAAATACATTTATAATGTTATAAATGATTTCGTTTTCAAATAAATGCTGTTCTTTTGAACTTCCTTTTCTTCAAAAAATCCTGCATTAGGTTTAGACAAAAAAGCATTAGGTTTAGACAAAAAATTAAGCAGCACAGCTGCTTTCAACATTGATAATAATAAGAAATGTTGCTTGAGCATCAAATCAGCATATTAGAATGATTTCTGAAGGATCATGTGACAATGAAGATTGGAGTAATAGCTCCTGAAAATTCAGCTTTGTTTTTTTTTTTACAATATTACTGGACATCACATTGCTTTTTACAGAACTTGAAGAGGTGTCTCACCGAGTTGCCTGTGCTGGACTCCATGTAAGCTTCAGTCTTGGGTTCCACTGCAAGCTCAGCGTCCAGGATCTTCTCCACTGGCATTTCCTCATTAAAGCTGCTGCTAGACTCCACCTCATTATCACTCTTTTCCCGACCGCGCTGCCTCTCTTCCTGCACCGCTGTACACGTGGAACATTTCTATTACTTCAAACAAAAAAATACCTACACAATTCATTTATGACAGTCTGTTTCATTTGAGTCACTCACCTTCTCTCTTCATGCCAAATCCTTTTAACTAATACAAGACAGCTCCCTAGTGACATAATCATCAACATCCTCATCCTGCTCCAGAAAGTCATTATTAGGTATTAGCATTGGCATGGATTTGATGAATTCTGTGATATGCATTTTGTGGTGTATTAGGCGATTTGTCTAATTCTAAAACATTTCATTCTGTTTGATGACAGAAGTCTATGACAATAAAAATATATAAATCTCAATTTCAAAAATTGGTGAAAATGTAATAATTTGAAAACCAACTAAAAGAAACACCACTGTTCAAAAGTATGTGGTCAGTATGTTTTGTGTGTGTTTATTTAATTCAGCAAGGATGCATTGCATTGATCAACCGTGACAATAATGAAATTTATAATATTATAAAAGATTTCCATTTCAAATTGGTCCTGTTCTGTGAATCCTGAAAAAAAAGTTTCCACAAAAAGATGAAGCAGCACAACTGTTTTAAGCACTGATAAAAAGAAATGTTGCTTGAGCATCAAATCAGCATATTAGAATGATTTCTGAAGGATCATGTGACAATGAAGATTGGAGTAATAGCTCCTGAAAATTCAGCTTTGTTATCACAGAGATAAATTACATTTTAACATATATGAACATAGAATACCATTATTTTAAATTATATATATTGTAT